TCCCCATATTCCAACCACGCTAGCCATACAGGACGTAGCATATAAAACTTGATTCGTACCATCATTTTGGAGTTGAGGTTTACCGTGCATATGCTACTCGAGTCGCATGTCTGACTACTATGCGACACTCTCAGGTATCAATCTAACAACCCACACCAAAACCGAAACTACTCACAACCCTGATGATGACCCCATGAATAATTGTAACATTAGCCTGCAACATAGCACAATTAGGCTAGACATCGTTGACCAGGACCTAATCCGAACAGTTTCCTAAAACTCATTGAATTCATGCTGCGGATATTGGCTGGTGGCTATACCTGATGAAGAAAGTTGCATGAAACGGGCTCGGATATCGGCGCTAACGCCTTCAGCAGTCTTTGCCGGGGAAAATAACACAAAGTGTAAATCGACCACTCCAGAACAGGCATTGATAATCCTAGTGCATAGAGCTGCGTCTCCTGAATGTGCTTCCAGTTCATTTGAACGCGTCTTAACTCCCTTTCGAGATTATTAAATGCTTGGAGCTTGTCTGGAATATTTCGAATTTCTTCGATCAGATTGAAGGTATTCCAGATCATTTCCCATCTATTTACCCATTGGACTGTCTCGTAGTGTGACTTTATTAAATCACAACGCTCGTCAAATGACACGTCCTCAATGTGCAGTGTTAAGTCCAGGTATTTCTCACTAGCATCTCCGGCAAACATTATAGCTAGCGCATCTATAAAATATCTTTTCTCGACACAAGCGTTATTACAATTATTGAAAAATATTTTTCGCTTGTAGTCGAAACTGTCAGTCCAATCTCTATATTTATCCTCGTCTTTGTACATTCTGACGAGAGACTCCAATTGCCTACTCTTATGAAGCGGACGATCCTCCCATGGAAGAGAATTGTCTTTTTGTGGGTATGGTTGCTGATTGGGTGCATATGACAAATAACGATTGTCTCTTTCATTACTGCTGCCTCCATATTTATTTCCCTTGTCTCCATAACTTGTAGGCTTGCTGTAGGTTTCTTCTTCTTTTTCCTTTACTGGAACATCCCTATTTTCATCTTTAATTTCCCTTGTAAAATTTTCCCTTCGGATTTGGTGTCACATAAATTCCTCGAGAAATGAGATAATCTTGGAATTTTCTCCTGAGTTTCGAGTCAACTTTACTAAAGAGATCAACATCCCAGTCCTCGAAGTCTTCTACCCATCTGTCCCATAGAGGGTCGTCTCGTACACCTTTCGCTCTATAGAGTTCCAGCCTATTCTGGACAAATGTTGTTATTGCTTCGTCAGAGTCGAATTTAGGCGGAGTGAAAGAGGGTGGCTTAAAATACATTATTGTTTGATTTTTGCGTGATAGACGCGAAGCAAGACTAGGGAATTTCTCCTGATTAATGCTTAAATAAAAGAGTGCGTTATTGGACGCGGAAGTAAGAAGAGCGAATACTTAATACTTCTTAAATTTGACACGTCGGAGCTCACTTCAGACAGGGTCGACGACTCCAAGGGACGTTCCTTCGTATGAATACCGCGTACGGATCTATGACCGACAATTTAGTTCACTGACCAGTAATGGTTTATCACAGGTTCTAGTTAATGTGCCAGCATAAAGATTTGGTAAAATGGTTATTGATCAAATCGAATATCTATATCTATGCGTCTCACATAAATAATGTACGGAAGTAAACCCCAACGCCGCTATACTACTGGTGTAGGTATCCTTGGCCTATAGGCAGAGAGGACCTGCATATCCTACGTAGTCGTAGACTCAGCCATGACAATAAAATGAATTATAAGTAATAATGATTATAGAGATTAAGTACCATTTTGGATCCTGAATTCCAAGTCCGAGCGAAACGCGAAGTCTCACGGCAAGCGAGCCGCCGAAGACCCGATCCTAGGCGAGCCGCCGAGTTTGAGGTTCCATCAAGAATGCACCCCTCGCACTCTTTGGTCACCATTCGGGCGGCTAAGTACCTCACCTCTCCCCTACTGTATTCTGATAGTTTACTTGTCATGTATCATTGATCGTTACATCATCTGCAGTATAGAGGATTTCATATATTTAAGGAGGAGTTAGAATGTTAATAGAAATACAAGTTTACACCTAGTCTCAAGCTCTACACACATATAGATTGTCGTAGTCGGAGCCACGAGACATCCGTGAATTTCACAGCCAACATTTGTCATTTTATTCTTACTAACGTGCACAAGAAACCTTAACATGACGAGTAGAAATTGTATCACGACTTGTGTGATCACACCGTAACTATATCGACGCCAGCCCATTTCAAATCTAGGATCAATTTTCCCTGATCTGAGATGATTAGCTTGTACGCTCTACAATTGAAGCAAGGTAGTTTATTGAAGTCAATCTTCTCGTGTGGCTCTTTTTCCTACTTTTTTTTTACAATATTTCACGTGCAATAAGCTATCTAGCTATGATACACGATCAGTGCTGTTTATACATATTAGATGGGTTGGATGGTGTAGTGGTACACCATCCGGGCCGTTCTCCCGATTAGATACTGGGTAGGTCAAAGACCTACCCCATTCGAGACAGGAGAAAGCTGGTTTGAACCCAATAAGACCCACACACCACTCTCTCTCGCAGTGATATTGTACTTGTAGAATGATGAAAGTACACTCGGATAGCCAGAGGTTTTTCACGCTTTTCCCTGTGGTGGGTATGCACGGAAGAGGTTATACGCTGTAAGGGTTAACCTCGAGTGGTATCTGCAAATGAAATCTGAGTGTGAGGGTTCTAATCGTCAAATTGAGTCATCCTACATAAAGTACATATCTTCCGATAAAAACCTGCATGGGCCTCAGGGCGCCAAATCAGGTAAAATGAACTATATATATATACATATTAGGTGACTCTTTTGAAGATATGTTGACTCATACTATGGACATCATTCACGAATACCGCTAAAATAAGTGTTTGCTAACACAAACAGTTGACCATCCTCTGTGAGTATCCAACAAAGGGAAGTTTCAGAACCATTAATTACCCAAGCAAGCCTTCGTCTTTAATGCATACCAATACCGCGAGAAGTGCAACCGAGTATTGCTAGAGTTAATCTAGTTATATCTGGTGTGAGGATTAATGTAACGGCTAGTATGCTGATTGATTGCCTGTATCCTGTGCTATTCAGTACAGGTGTATTCATAGTGTCAGCACTAAGTTGCGCGCGTATTGAAAGTCTGGCGCGGAGGGCAAAGCCTGAACACCTGTACCCGGTGTCCCCTACGAACTTGGGAGTGAAATTTTCCCAGAGGGCCTAGTTATGTCAAATTTCGCAATCCGAAGAGGTTGGCCCACGAGGCAATGATCCAAGACTCTCTACGATATCAATTCCTCCCACCCAACGAGATCAATCCCCACAGAGACCTCATCAAGTTTACAAGTACGACCTGGTACATCCTCGTTTCGATGACCACACTTCTCATCAACTATGCTCTGGCCTAAGCTGGCCACCAAATACAAGCCCTCGCCGATATTTATCCTCAATGGAGGAAGCCAAGCGTGGCGCACAAATCTGGGAGACAGTTCTTTGGGATGAACGTGAGGGGTATCAGGGCAAGTTTACAAGATAACACGGAGGATGGATACGATCTCAACGGGCGTGTGGTTTTGAATTTTTGCAAGGAGTTTCACGAATTAAGCCTTGTGCGCGCCAAGACTTCGATTGCGAGAGTGCAGCTGACAATATAAACACAAGTCAACGATAGAGGGTGCCGTGGTCTGCCTCTTGGTGGTCCTGTCTGGTATAGTTTGAGTAGCTTGGGCACCTACTCCACTTGTGAAGCAGACACAAAAGACTGTATTGCACCTGGAGAAAAGTAAATGGATGATGGAGGCATGTCTGGATAACTTTGGGTTTTGATGACGTTTTCCTGGGTGGGTATTCACGGATGAGAATTGACTTGGGTTGAAGTAAAAGCCGCCATAATTTCGCAGTGGTAATTGCAAATGAAATCCGAGGCATGAGTGCTCTTTCCTCACATTGAGTCATCTACCATGTAATTTTCTTTGATATTATGTCATAGCTAGATAGCTGCATACGCAATTAAAATCTGATGCAAATGAACCCAATTTTCGGCCAAGTAGAATAGAATAGAATTAAATTTAAGTCCCTACTGAGTCTATGACTATGAAGGACTATTTTCGGCCAAACCTCGGCAGTGAGATTATACTCTGTCCATACCTCGCAAGATATCCTACTTCTTGATATCCAGCCACCATCATTCTGACAATCTACATTATAAGGACTGTCTCTGATGGTAAGGACATTCCCCTAACACTATTATCATGAAGCTAACCACGATCAGATCAGATGGTAGGGTCGGAGCCCTACTCATCACCAACCCTTGATCACGGAGGAAAAGCCATCCGATGAGTTTCTGGACCTTACCCAGCACCCGATACGGAGATGGCGGATTGGATCAAGTCGGCCTCGATTGTTTCAAAAAAGGGAGATGTAGATGAATATGCGCACCTCATGTGGTCCCGGTGTCTAGGCCTCACCTGGCTGGGGCTGCAGGTTTTTTGAACCTTTTCCCCGCGCACGCAATTTCCATTGCTACCATTTTTATTTTTTTGGGTAGGAGTCTCAGTGGAAAAGGTGGCCGATTCCACGGGTAAATACTGAGCAGAATGGCTAATCATCATGGGCAATATATCAATGATCTTACAAGTAACAAAGGAGGATAAAAGCATTATACAAGATGTAGCCTGGGTCAGAGAGGAGCCAAATGTGCTAAATAGTCATAGACTCAAATAGTGTAATAAGCAAAACATACACATCAAACACATGCTTATATCTGAAAGTAAGGAAGGCGAAGGATTCTGACGTTAAAATTCTGGTTGTGATTATGTAATACAAACTTCGAATAGAGTCTCTTCATGTTCCGCCGCCAAGCATAAATTTTGCTGATTGCAATGATTTTTACTTCCGACCTTAGAATAGCGGGTATGAGCTGATAGTCCGTAACGTTATGGAAAATAAACAACTTCGCTCTGCAAGAAATGAGCTTTTCCAACAGGTCAGGCAATGATCCTTGGAAAGTTGCTACCTCTAACCTCCAAATTGAATAGCTTCGACCTAAATGCGTTGAACTCAGCCGTATAGCCTTGCAAGATAATGCTAGCGTTGCATGTCTCAAGGCTCAGAAGATAGCTGTGGAAAGTATACTCGGAGTTCTTCAAAAAAAATGTCAGCAGACAGATGGAACTTTTGATGAGAAGTTAGCGGATTATGTCTTCTTCCCGCTATCTCAAGTCCTACGATCAAAACGTAAATATACCGATCAATTATCTGAGTTGACTATTAAGTGCATAAAAATATTACTTGCATTTGGTTGGAGAAACTCTATTTCTCCAGACTTGGCCAAGCAGCTTTTAGTCTTACTCACGTTTGTTGCCGATGGTTCATCTGAAAAAGAGGTATCATCAGTACCAGAAGAGGTTATGGCTGAGGCCTACGGCGCACTTGCACTATTATTTCAGAATCTGACACATACCTTTGGAGGTACGGGCTTTGTTTCAGATCCAGGGACGTTACTTGCCCTAGGACATTCAGTATCAGTGATGTTAGATGGTATCACAAACGGACCTACACCGGGGGTTCAAATTGAAGCTCTAATAGCTTTAGATAAGTTATGGCATTGCATCCAAGACCCAGAAGTCTTCCCAAAGTTTCTTCCAGGTGCCGTCTCAGCTCTAACGAAGAGTTTAACGCCGTCATCAGGGCTTCGGAGATCAAAAAAGTTCATTGTTCAAGCTTTGAAAGTATTTAAGCATATTCTCACCTCAACTTTGAATGATGTTCGCACTAGTACCATCAAGAAAATATGCCCGAATATAGAAACTCCATCAGTAACGGATCACAAAAATACTTTACTTACGGCCGACTGGCTTAAATTAACTACAGATAAAGTAAAATTAGCACTTTCGGTCGTCACAAAATTGCGCAACCATCAATCGGAGGAAGTGTGCCAAGCTCTTAATAAATTCTGTCTTTCTATTCTAGATGAATGTCATTCTACATTAACTGAATCTTCTCGCATACTGGTAGAGACTTGCATGACTTTGAATGGAATAAATTGTGCTGATATAACTTGTGAAAGAACAACAAATTTAACAGACCTTGCCCTCATACACCCAGACCTTGCGGATGTTGTCAGAGACGTAATGTATGAATGGATTACGGATCTTCCAAGAGTGATGCAAGCAAACGATGAGGCAGCAAAAGTTTCAGTCCTTAGAAAACTGTCAAGAACTCAAGAATTACTAGTGGAATTGAACATAAGATCACCAATTCTGGAAAAAACGCTCCACAACTCTCTACGTGATAGCATCACAGTAGCAACAGAATCATTAGTGTGTTCAAGAGCTCTAGAGGAAATTGAACTCAACCTAGACAGCCAAGCTCTATCGACTTGGATCATGCTCGGCTCTAGCTCATTAGAATTTCAGCCCACTATTATGCTTCATGAGTGTCAGACATACACTCGAAAGGAACTTTTAAATTTAGTAGCTAGTGTAGGAACAAGGCTATTAAAGATTGAAATGGCAAATGACATGCTTGAATATACTAAGTCTGCTTCTGGAGACAATGTTCTTTCAGCTTATTGGCTCTGTTTCCAACTTCTCAAGTCTTCAGCATCAACAAACCAGGAACCTGATGAGCTACTTGAGTCTTCTTTAACTCATCATGATCAGCATAATATAGTTGAGCAGGAGCTTTTCTCATATTCACTATCTCAACTAACAACAAACAATGATGAAATTAGAGATTGGCGTCTTCAACTCGTTGCAATAGAAGTCATAGCCGAAAGAGCCAAAAAAATGCAGCGCAATTTTAGACTTGAACTTGTTGACGCCCTTTATGCTATTGTTCAAATTCTGGGATCTCGAAATCCACGCTTAAGGGGGCACGCAATTACTTGTCTCAATATTATATCCCAGTCTTGCGGCTACAACAGCCCAAGTGATCTAATAATTGATAATGTAGATTATATGGTTAACGCCATTTCTTTACAACTTAATTCATTTAGCATAGCTCCTCAAGCTCCGCAGGTACTGGTAATGTTGATACGTTTAACTGGGCCGAGTCTTATCCTCTATCTTGATGATTTAATAAAAACTATTTTTGCAGCGCTCGAAAACTATCATGGATATCAGTATCTTGTTGATGTGCTTTTTTCAGTCCTAATGGAGATAGTATCTGTCGGATCAAAGTCAGCCCAGCTTCGAATAGCCAACGGTGAACTTACCTTGGATCATTGCAAAAAATCACCTCCTATCATAACATTAGAAGAGATCATAGAGACTTATATATCTCCTAAACCTAGCTCAGAATGTGAAATCGTGCCTTCACACGAGCCTTTCCCGGAGACCCCATGGAAAGCCGATGAGCCTCCTCACGAACTATGTACACCACCTCAATGCAACGAGGATCATACTGAGGCGATTGAAATTCAGAAGCCAGCGCCTACTAAGACCTACCTAGCTCTTCTTTCTATAGTCCGCACTACCCAATATTTTCTGACCTCGCCATCGCCCATGCTCCGCTCGAAATTACTTGGGCTTGTCTCTGAATCTGCGAATGCCTTATCATTCGACGAAGATAGCTTCCTGCCTCTAGTGAACGATGTGTGGCCTGTGATTATCAAGCGACTCTATGACTCGGAACCTTACGTTTGCATTGCCGCATGCCACACTGTTGCAAACCTTTGTAGGGGCGCTGGTGACTTTCTCGCATCACGCATAAGTACCGAATGGTGTGGTTTAATGAAACTGGCTAGGATCTCAAAACAGAAGGCTACAGTTAGGAGCCAGGGTCGAGGAGCGAAAAACATATACAGCCAAGGGAGTCAAATGTGGGAGGCTATTCAGGTGCTATTAACTGCTGTCGTAAGATATGTAAAAATTATGGACATTATGTATGACCAAGTGCTCGAACTATTCGGCTCTCTTGTTTGGGAGAGGCCAGAGATTCTACAAACAATGGAGAATATCAACGCAGATGCTGTATGGCTGGCCATGCAAGGTTCACGCGCCTCATCGGTATTGACAACGCCCAACCTTAAAAATTACAAGTTCGCATGTCAATGAAGAGAAAACAGTGTAGGTGTAAAGTATAAATAATTTATTAATGTAAATTTCTCCGATCAAAGTTTACCGATTTATGTAGTGGTGGAGCAACTAGATACAGAATGTGCATTGCAAAAAAAGGATAAATACTGCGGGTGCATTTAAGCACTTGTGATCTGCTGGTGAGTACTCTAGCATGTACTAATTAAGGTGAAATATTTAGTTAAGCTAAAACTGTTGGATGCTCCTGTAAAAAATATTCTATTCAGAATCTTCATCACTCTCTGCTTCAGCGAGCCAAGTCAAGAAAACCTCAGCCGATCTCCTAACCCTTTTGCTAGTTGGCAGATCGATATACTTTTTACTGGCTTTAGTCCCCCATTTAGTGATAACCTCCTCTGGAAGAATGTCCTCGTTGTATAATACCAATAGAATTTTAGGTGTTTCATCATAGAATGTAGGGTTATTTTGACCCCTTAGACCTATAAACCTTTCAACTCCTCCCAAGAACGCTCTTTGGTGTTTTTCAGAAGTTATCATCTATTATTTAAGTTAGCAGTGACTTTGCCGTCTTTGATTTTACTTGCATTTTTGAGCATGGCTGCACGCTGAGGTATTTGCTTGATAATGTCATCGTCGAAAATAGTTTGAACCAAAACAAGTAGTGTCCGATGTTTGTTTTCTATGCCGAGCTCCTTGGCTTTCAAATAAACAGAAACATCAGAAACCTTACTGACGCCACCTTTTTCCTCGGCTTCATTGGTAATCCAATTCCCGAGTTGGTCATAAATTGAGTTTCCGCCACCTTCGCCATCTTCATCTTCATCATTACCGGCTAATACTAGCTTTTGCTTCAGATCATCAGATAATTGTTGTTGACGAGCTCGCACAGCTTCAGCCGACATGTCAACAGTCCATTCGTTATCTTTGTCATCGTCTTCCAATTCATCGTTACCAGATTTTCCTCTTCGAATAAACTCATCGTCGCTAGCTGCTTGAACCGAATTGTCTCCATTCTCGTTCAATCTTATCTCAGAATTCTGATCACTACCACTACCATTATCTTTATCATCTGCCTCATTACTTCCGTTTTGTCTAGCTTTACGGGCTGCCTTTTTTTCTGATTTGTCTTTCTTTCCCTTTTTTGGCTGGTTCTTAAGTATGAACCCACTTAATTTCAGTCGAAGGTCCACATCAGATCGTTGACCGCAAGCTTTACAATCCAGAACTATGTGACCATCTTTAATTATAACATCGGTCTCTGGGTTTTTGCATTTTTTACACAGAACGAACTTATTGATGAATCCGTCTAAGTAATCTTGAAGTTTTGAGGCTTCGTGGGCACCATTGATGATCCATCGATCATCGGCAGGATTTGAATTTGTCTGAGCACCAAGTTCAAAACCAAAGTACTTTATCACATATGCTCCAGGGCGAGCAAGTGAAGATGCAACACTACTAAGGTTGACGATTACTGTCTTTATTCCATTACCTTTGCCTTCGATTTTGGACTGAAGTCTCTCCATCTTGTAGCGGTAAAAAGGGTCCTTGATATCGCTTCGGATATTAACGGTGGCCATGTTTGCTATTATGAGTGATTGTTTAGATATTTGTGCTAGGATTTGAAGTCGTGATAAGAGCCGTTAGACGACCGGGAGGTACGACATATGATATTCTGAAGATCTGGGAATTCGAAAATTCAGATGATGAAGAATTTTGAGACAGATAATTAATTGTAGATTATTAAAACGACATTCGCCGAATGATATTAACCGTTGCTACTAAAGTATGGGCTGCAGGGTTTCCGCGTTATGCGACGTGGTCGCAGCACGAGGGGCGGCTGGTGTCTGAGGAAGTTGGAATAGGGTGTGAGATACATATAACGCAAATGTTCGTGTGGACAATTTAATGACTTTGATGGTGACTTGCGGAAGGTTGGCTTCCTTCGAGGCAAGGAGGCGAAGAGAATCTAACCCAAGGTGAGATCAACTTGTGGGACTGTTGAAAGACACACAATATGAAAATTTTGTGAGGATGCTTTGTGAGATCTGGAGGAGATTGAGTTTTGACAGCGCGGCCTTGTAGAATAAGACTGAAGTTGGAAACCTAAGAAGGATGTAATGGGGGTGTGGGCAGTAGATACTAAAAAATGTTTCTAATTTTTAGCTCAAGCACTAGCGAATTTCTTGCATATCCCTGTTAGCGAGACGGTTAGATTTTACATGACTCGATTAACGAGACTCGCATGTGTATATTGTTCGCCCCACAACGCTACAGAACAAATCACCTAAGCCAAGAACTTACCGATTTATTAAAAGTTGATACTATTGTGATACGGGAAGGGTGAGAGGTGAAGGGTAAGACGAGTATCTTGGATGTGAAAATAACATTCGCGCAGTCAGTCTACTAGCAGTCACGATGATCACATTAACTCGGCTTTGACACAAATGTTTGGTGTCCGAAGGCCTGATCGTTGACCTGTCACCTAATAATTTGCGTAAATGATTACAACTATTATCATTACTTTCGTCATTTAATGAGAAGAAACAGCTTATCTTATTTCTTGTGATATTTATTCTTGGCGGATATTTGTGAACTGATAGGTGCGGGGCCCTGCGCACCTATGGACGGAATTGCACAGTCGGGATTAATTAACGTGATAAAATGCTCAATAATTTATCATAGTCATTTGAATCCATTATGTATCAGTTAGGGCGCGATGGAATTACAGGTGGGGCAATTCTACAGATCAGACGAGTGTAAATTTCTGCTATCCCATGAGATCGAGAATCCGTAGCTCTACGCTTTCGATAATTTCACTGTAGATTCCTGGGCCGAGGTCCTTGGTTCAATTTGGTGCAGGAACGGAGGAGCTGACATGGATTAGTACCCTGAGCGCAACTCACTTGCTTCCATAATTCTGGACTCCTTGCTCTGCTTCATGTAGGCAAGAAAGGAGAGTGGAAATTTTATGAAATAATTTAAACATATGGAACTAGAGTATTATACACAAGTCGTGTCGTGTCGCGCTAAAAGTGCCATCCTGTCCGGTCTCCGTCGTAAATTTGGTACAGCCTGGTCATATACCCCTATTGGGCCAAGTGATCGCTGGTCTTAATCCAAACTTAATTTGTCACCCTTAGCACACGCTTCACAAACACGATTTTCAAGGCAAAAGAGGTGTACTCAAAGAATCGCAAGCTTTTCTCTGGAGGAACACGTATGGCAGGTGGATAGCTGGAGGTTTTTTTGGGCCAATGTTGTAAGACGACAGCAGCAAACAACGTGTGGCAATCAGAATGGTCATCATTCTATCACTCACAATTCGCATAGAATGATTGATAAAGAAATTAGTGTTTGCGCAAGTTGTGCCTCATAAGCAGGAGATGAAGGGTTATAGCTGTCAGCGGTGCCCTTACAAATCTGCAACTCTCACTGGTGGGTCTACAGGGGCAAACTAAGATTTGCGTTGTGTCATTGAAGTGTATGCAGCTATTTAGCCATGGCACATGATTAGTAGTATTTGTACATATTGGATGAATCCTAAGATACCAGGACGGCCCATTCCCTAAATCTAACACACAAATTCCACCACGAGGTAAATTTGCATTCGCTCAGCTGTTCAACTTCTATAGCAGATATCATTATAGGAGGGAATTTGGATCCATGTTTCCGCTCACACGCCTTTGTCATCGCTTGAGGAGCCCGATGAAAAAGGTAATCGAGACCGGATGGCTTTGAAACACCGGACTCCTGTTTCATGTAAGCTTGGTATGAAAACCATCCGGACTTTGCCTGACAGACCGCCACAGATGGTGTTCTATTGCACCTTCCAGCCAAGATGGTATTCTAACTATTGCCCGCAGCTCTAAAGTTGAGCGGTTGACGCGCAAATTGATTCCCACTTGGTAAAACTCCTACATACAATAGGAAACTTCACTCCTTAGAAATTTATTTGTAACCTTTACATCATCTATTACTCTTGTCCCGACCTCCTACATACAACCCAAAGATATGCTTACCAGATCTGTATACCTTGGTATTTATTATCCTGCAAGTACTTATCTTTTCGTGGGCATTTATTTGGTGACCAGCTGGGGCCAGAGAAGGTCGACGAGAGGTGTGGTCATTGGAATGAGGATATACTAGATCGTACTTGCAGAGTTGATGAGGCCTAGGAAGGAATCTATCTTGTTGAGATTGAAAGATTGACACGATTAAGTATCTTGATTCATTGCCTAGTGGGCCAACTTTTTTGGTATTGCGAAGTTTGACTAAATATATATTATCGATAGTCTGTGGTAATTCCCAGTAATCAAGACGGCACTAGAGAGCTGAAATGAGCTACTGCACTGAAAAAAAATTTTATCAAGAATTTCCTACTGTTTCTACTGTTTCTTCTCAACCTTCAGGAAAGACTTCAAAGGCTACTGAATATATGATAAAATGAAGACTTATGAGGGTCGATGTTGTTGGAAGAGAGCCGCAAAGAATGCGTGAGATGGAGCATAGTAAATGAGGCATATGTTTCCATGGCCTACAGACAAAAATATCCAAATGTCTAACATGTTATTTTTGTGGAAATTAAAATTCTTGGCTAAAGGTGGCAAAAGGTAAGTGCTATGAACTTGACTTTAGTAACATATGTTCTAGTGACTAATCAAAATCATATTAGGAAAAGATTACTGGTAGTGCGAAATAAGCGCGTACACGTCAATTCGCGGCATTGTAGCGGCGGTAAGACTTGTAAGTTAACCACTGTAAGAAAGGCTACAAGATGAATTCAGCCGATTTATTTAACGTCAAAGTATCACTAAGCTTGTCAAACTTGACTTTAATTCTCTAATGCCACGTAGGGAAAAGTTATTTTAGTGACTGGTGGTGCAAAAGGAATTGGAAGAGTACTGAAATAAATACGCTCTATAAATATCACGTAGAGCAGCTAATTTTTTTAGATGATATCAGAAGGCTTCGTCTGTAATGGAGCCAAAGTTTACATATCATCTCGAGATGGAAAAGCCTGTGATCAGGCCTGCAAGGAATTAAATGCGCTGGGTACCTTGACGATAATATAACATTGACATATACAGCCGCTGATAATCTTTCATTTAGGCAGAGGTAGCGCTTACTCTCTTCCGGCAGACTTCTATAAACTAGAAGAGTGCAAACGTATGGCAGATGAGCTCCAAGAGCGTGAGAGTGCGCTCCATATCCTTGTTAACAACGCAGGCTCTAATTGGGGAGCCCCATTCAATGAATTTCCGGATAGTGCCTGGACACGAGTCTTGACGCTCAACCTGACTAGGGTTTTCACCATTACGCAGATGCTCACCCCTTTACTCGAAGCAGCAGCCTCGCCTGAAGATCCGGCTCGCATAATTAACATTGGCTCCATTGATGGGCTGCGCGTTTCGCCCCTAGAAACTTTTTCTTATTCGGCCTCTAAAGCTGGACTACATCAATTATCTCGCGTCCTCGCCAGTCACTTAGGCAAGCGTCACATCACTAGCAACGTCTTAGCTTGCGGCCCATTCGAGAGCAAAATGATGGCTGCAACCCTAAAATCATTTGGAGAAATTATTCAAAATGGTATTCCCCTTGGACGTATTGGTACTCCAGAAGATGTTGCAGGTGCCTGTCTATTTTTAAGCGGTAGAGCTGGTGCGTTCGTTAATGGTGCAACTATCGCACTTGATGGTGGAGCCCTAGTAAATTCAAGACTTTAAACTGAATATTCGATCTGTGCCTATTTCACAACTACTATCACTGAGTCATAGAAGATTCGAGAAAGCTAGCAAGCTAAAAACATTAAGATTAATGGAAAATCACTCAGGCTGACAATCAGTAGGAGTTAGAGTTGAAAGATTTTGCTACAACAATCCAACTTTAACTTGATATATGATAAAATCGCCATGAACCGTTGTTGTTTGGATGCGTGCATTTGTTATGATCATGCTAGCCTTCAATAAATACTGCCGTTCCAAACTAGTTAGACAAAACATACATGAAAGCTACTTCTCAACCTCCTTCATGTTACAAAGACTGGTTCATATACTTCTGATTGGCATCGTATGGTTGATCTAGTTTCTTCAGTATCATTCTCTAGGCTTTAGAAATGTCCTTCAACCAACCGTTCAACCGCATGTACCTACCAAATGGAATAGCTGAAGTGATTTCATCAGCCTCAAATTTCTGTCATTTTTCTTTCCTCTAGGCCTCGCCACTTGTGGCCGCGTATTGCCGGAGTGAGAGAGGTGTGTTTGTTCTACTTGAGTCTATGACTATTTAGCACATTTGGCTCCTCTCTGACCCAGGCTACATCTTGTATAATGCTTTTATCCTCCTTTGTTACTTGTAAGATCATTGATATATTGCCCATGATGATTAGCCATTCTGCTCAGTATTTACCCGTGGAATCGGCCACCTTTTCCACTGAGACTCCTACCCAAAAAAATAAAAATGGTAGCAATGGAAATTGCGTGCGCGGGGAAAAGGTTCAAAAAACCTGCAGCCCCAGCCAGGTGAGGCCTAGACACCGGGACCACATGAGGTGCGCATATTCATCTACATCTCCCTTTTTTGAAACAATCGAGGCCGACTTGATCCAATCCGCCATCTCCGTATCGGGTGCTGGGTAAGGTCCAGAAACTCATCGGATGGCTTTTCCTCCGTGATCAAGGGTTGGTGATGAGTAGGGCTCCGACCCTACCATCTGATCTGATCGTGGTTAGCTGGAGATTCGCAGTGGACAACACTGACAGGTGTTGCGAATAGTCCCCCAAGGAGTTATAGTGTCTGTAAATAAGCTTGCAGTTTGGGAACTTGAACTCTGTTTGACATGCTTACGTTAACAGAGCGGGAGAGGATCGCACGACCCGACCGATGAACTGTCGTGTAAAAATTTAATTGATCAATTTATGCTTAGATTCCCCGTCAGCCTCGGTTATCACGAGCTCGAGTCCTTAACACCTCATTGACTCCTAGATATATATGTCGTCCTAGATCTCATCATTGCTCTAGCCTCGCACCCCATCTTACTGATGAGTAGTTTTCGTCATTGGAGATTTGTGTAATACCCTGGTTGTATCTTCCATTTTCTTTCTCCAAACACGTCCCATTTCCATCATGACTATCTAGACTTATGACGTGCGCCCCCCAGTTGAGCTTCTGTAAGGAAATAATTAAACTGTCCTTTGCAGTTATTGATGGTGACATGAATTAAGATTACAATTGTGATTGAGATAGATTTTTATATAGTTTATTATACATGATTTACTCAGGTTCCAATACCTCGAGCCAAGCAGCCAGATTATGTTCCTCCAGATCTAAATTCATAAGATTGATTACATACTCAGTAAAATTCTCCTAGTTTCAGTTATGTGTTTAGGATCTTGACTAGGTTTCTAATAACTAGTCAATGATGTTTCTCTTATCACTGAGACATAGTCATGGTTGTTGTGGTTATTAGCTATGCGGAAGTCACATTGCGGAGTGATGAGGAGTGGATGATGTTAAAATTTGTTGTTGACAGTGAATAGACTCATACAATACTATGCTGTAGGTATATGGACAGAAAGTGTAAGACTAAACCTGTGTCCATTTATTGTGGATACATCAATGAAACTATATACATGCTCGCCTAACCTGTACACTAGTGATGTATGCTGTAGCCTTGAGCCACACGCGATGCCTTGGCCTCGACTACCTCGTTGTCTCATATCATAACAATGGTTGATACAACAAGTACAAACGATGAATCGCTTCTATACTTAACGTTGTGATATAGTCATGGTATTCTGAATAATCTCAACTCATGAATGAATCATGTCTCTACATGACAGCTTCGGATCAAAGTAAATTCCGAGAACCCGCAGAGAAGACTTTTTTCTTTTTTTAATCATTTAATGTGTATTCAGCTATCTAGCTATGACACATGACCGGTGCTATGTATACATGTGGGATGACTCTTTTGACGTTGGAGACACTCATACTCTGGATTTCATTTGCAAATACCACTATGAGGTATGTTCGCTTACACAAACAGTCGACCCTCCTCCGTTAGTACCCACCAAAGGGAATTTAAAAACCTTTGGTTATCCAAGCATGCCTTCGTCATCCATGCATACCAGCGCCGCGAGAAAAGTGATTGTGTTTTGCCGGATTTGAACCAGCGATCTACTGTCTCAAGTGGGGTATGTGTACAAGCTATCCAGACTCTACTTGGCAGACCGGCCAAGACGATGTACCACCGCACCATCCAACCATGGCGGTTTTTATAGTGTCGCCTGCACTCCGCAGAGAAGACTGTGGTGCTGCAATATGGCCTTGGATGTTAATTGTCGCTTTGAGGTTATGCCTTTTTCGAGCTCGTGAAAAATGTATCAGCTGATACTTCTCGGGCGCAAATCTCACTCCATGCGTTTTTGCCCACTGCTCGCAGACCTCATGTTGCCTCTCCAGCTCTCGACAGTTCTCTTCCGTTGAGTTTGACCAGGTTAGAATGTTGGTATTGACGACAAACCCAACTGCAGATGTAGAGGAAGTTTTCAGCATCGGAAGGAGAGTGCTGACAAAGAATAGAAACAGTATTGGTGACAGAGAAAAACCTTAGGGTATTCTTGTACTAGTAGGGATTAATTTTCCTCGGAATGTGTTACGGGAATACTCCCTTGTTTGTGTACTGTCTGCGCCAGTACGGTAGAGATGGAATCTAGGGTCTAGTCAGCTATAGAGACTACCAAGAGTGGAGACTGGAAACGGTTGCTAAGCAACGGAGACTGTTATGATCAGCGTCGTTAATTAAAATCCCTTATGTAAATAGTAAGATGTAGGTGACCTACCGACTCTAGATATCGTTGATTAACTGATTTTATTCTGGACTTACTCTGCCGCATACCAACACTAATTAATCCGGCGACAGAATGATCCCAATACCTTAGAAGTCGTTCTATCTTCGAGAAAATATTTGATAAATTGTCTAATCCACCCTATAATTTGTTTCTCTCTCTCAGGTTGTGCAGTAACATTTCGTGACACGTTGTTGAAAGTACTGGATTTATCCAAACTGAGAAGGGAGGCCACTTGCTTCATATCTTTACCCCAGATAGTAAAATTCCGTTCTGTGAGAAGCCCCACTACGGAGATGGGGGAATATTGCGTTCGAGCACCCATCTGCTTTTCGGGAAAAAAATTGTAAGATTCGCTTGCCTAGGAGAGACGATTTTCTACCAGTTTTCCTACGAGCTTACCTATAGTGTCAAGAAGTGCGATCGGTCTATACGCTTTTGGAGTGTTGTAGTTTGGTTTCTGAGGCTTTCTCAAGACTAAAGTGGTAGAGTCCTTGAACTCTCTTGGATGGTATCCTATTGTGAGATAGGCATTAATAAGACCGTAAGTACTTCGCTCAGAGTCTTCCTACACTGCTTTAAAACTCGATATGGTATTCCGTCCGGTCCTGGGGTGTCGGTAAAAGGATTATACTTGGGCGTTATGAATTGTTCATGTAATTGCGGTGTTAAGGATGTCGTTAGGACTTTGGCAGGGATCTGATTTAGCTCATTAGCGAGGCGCTTGGAGTAGAGGAAGAAAGGGGAGGAAGAAGAAAGAGAGACAACGTTTTATGTATTTCGAGATACCAGTTAATTGACATTATTCACCGACTTCGTGACGGACAGCTGACTTAGTGACGGCACCCAATTTGTATTACTTCGTGTTTTACCAACATGGGGCTTTATCATTGGGTAGTGAACCTGTTACTTCTTCGATTTCCTCCTCGGTTAACTTGTTGGATATTGTCTTGATCTCTTCAGGGTATTCTGTGTTAAGATAATGAGCACATACGGGTTGAATCTCTATCTTGGAAGGATGCTATATGTGTTCGTAGAACACCAACGTAGATATAGAAAAGATTTGTGTTAACTGAGGAACGCTTGGATTCTGATGACTTATTCTTACTCCTACTGCTAGGAGATCCATCTCATAATATACATGTCCTGGATAGCCATATCACAGATCCTACACTATCCAGTACATTCCATTCCATTCTACCCCATACTATTCGATCCCATACCATTCCATTACAAATCTATGATGCCCAAGTTATGGGTTTCCCTCAAGTCCATGTCCTTGGACTTGTATGAAATATTTACATGCATAAATCTGCACAGATCTGGGATCTCTTGGCAGATTATAACATTCTGTGTTAGTAATATCGCGGATGTCTGCCTGTGAGGGTTGAGGGAAGAAGTGACAGGCCATGATCTTGGCTTTCTCCTCGTTTCCTCTGGCGTTTGTGATGGGAAACGCAATTAATATTGCGGTCACGTGGAAGAGTTTACGCGCGTATGCGATTGTATATAATATCCCTTGTCCTTTCCTAGATCCCTTTCTTCTATGTAGACAATCTTATTCACCAGATTAGACCTCGTCAATCTTCCTCTTGACCATCCCTTGACAGCGTTCTCAAGGGCGAGGTTAGGACAGTGTTTCACAGGGTGTGTATATGGTCTAACGAATATCTAGGTGGTAGATAAAGGCGAAGAGTAGGTCGAAGGGATGACTGGTCTTCTCTAGGAAGAGATAAAATAGGTAGATAGTAACGGTAGAGGCTACACGTGGGTCTTGCTGATGAAGAGCTAGAAAACATATAAATGGTCTTACCGAAGAAGAGATGAGTGAACAAATGTTTTGTTAAGGTAATTGAAGAAGAAGTTGCGTGAAGAATAATGCTTCTTCACGCCGAGTATTTATATACATAAAATTACCAAATAGCACATAGCACACAGCTTCTTTGCCAAACAATTTGCTACACATCACCTAATGAAACTAGCCTACTCTCATCAGCCTTCATTGCTGGTTTTAGAATTGCATTGAACTATTATTTGTGTTTTAACCTAGCCGTCCGCATGACGTTTCATATTACGCTATGCCACAACGATCCATGAAAGGTGTCCTTGAAGTCGGGTATCAGAGTGGATCTACCTCTTCCTTCGTCGCTCTTATTAGCCCATCTAGTTAATTTCCATATTTTGATCGGGTCTTCTGTTATCTCTGAAACGAGAGCTCTCCAGCCTAGGGTTTTGGTGTCACAGTTCGAATATAGAAAGCGAATGGGAATTTGTATGATTGAAAGGTAAAGCTATAATTCATCTATGTAGAAGCAAACTACCTGCAAGTCTACTCTACTACTTAAACACATCCAGAAGTATCTAAATCTAGCCTACACTTACAGTGGCAATAAAACTGACTTAAGGTTTATTCTGCCACACGGGTAACGCTTCCAATACTCTTGGCACTATCCTTTACGTAGCCTCAGTGGCGATCTCGTATCAGTTTTTGTCTGCTGATAATCCTCGGAGTGATAGAGAATATAGGTTGCCTTCGATAGCCATCGAAGGCTACAGGACTTATCGGCTCACAAGCCGGCACATTTGGCTTTCTTTATCAGTCTTTTCTTCTAGTTTGTGGCTTCTTGGTACCCAATCCGGCTCTCCTCATTGCAGTCTCGGGTCCATTTTCTTCTCTCCTTCTTTGCCATTTTTACTGCAGTTGAGCATTCCTTATTCCAGTTCGGCTTTGCGTATAAAGAGGGTTTCGATTTGGGTACCATTTCTTCGAATGTTTGTTGGATTGCTCTGGTTATAACTGCAACTCTCTTATCAATTTCTTGCCTGGAGTCTAGCTGGCTACCGTCTAGCTTCAGGTTTAGAGTTGCGTCGAGTCGATCGTTGAATGCTTGCCAATTTACCTTCTTCCACTGTGGATAGGCTATCTGTTCAACTTGGGTGATTGGCTGTATTTGAAGTTTGGTGCGTATAGGTATATGATCAGAGGATGCTTCAAGCTCGTTGGCTGGCTGACAAATTATGACGGTCTCCTCAAGTTACTTAGAGTCAAACTTCAGATCAATAGTGCTTTGGCTTCCTCTGATCTTCCAGGTAACGGTTCCTTCGGGCAATATAAGTTCCATGTTAAACTCTTTAAGCATTTCGATAAGAGTTTCTGAGCCTTTACGGTGTGGCATGGTTGCTTGGCCTCCCCACTTTGGGTGGTGTAGGTTGAAGTCTCCAACCAATATATGAAGGCCATCCTGTGTTAGCATTTGGGAGATCCATTGTAGCGTTCCTAGTTCTGTGCTGCTATGAGATTTAGGCGGCGGATTATAGAAATTGTGAACTTTCAATTTTCCCTATTCGGTCCGGAGACTGATCGAAGTTTTATCTCCACCGACTTCTTCGAGGATATTTTCGACCCTCAATCTATCTATAGCTAGCCACTTGCTGACGTATATGCAAGTTCGGTTGTTCGGTTTGGTTGAGGATAGCAAATAGTATCCAGGGTGCTTTATGGTAAGATTGTTCAGCGGGTTTCGCCAAGGTTCTTGGACCACTACTATATGGTGTTCCTCGGAGTTCAGCTTTTGAAGAAAGTGATGCTGTACTTTGTTTTTACTTTTGTTAACATTATACTGTATGATATCCCACATATTTGTGCCATATTGCACAGCGGTGCATCGCTTTCCTCTGCTTGGTCCTCCAATGTCACAGTTTGAGTGTTAGTGTGAGCGTTTGAAAATACCAGATCCATTTTTGTTGGCACCTTAGCCCATGTTGCTGGCAAATCGCCAGAAGTTGGAGATTTTCGCGGTCTTCCAGGGCCTCGGCGAACGATAACTTCACCGTCTGCTCAAATAAGCTGAGGACCAACGGTACTGGCTCGTATTTTCCTAGATCCAACGATCTGACATTCGGCCTCTGCTTCCCTCGCTGGTAACTCAGGGCGTCTATCTGTTCTCGGATCTTGTGTCCGATTCTGAATTGCTTTTACTTTGGCCGCGATTCTAACTGGGCAGCTTTGATTCTATGCTTAGTGAAATCTACTGCAATTACTGCATCTTGCCTCTTGTTTTGCAGTACAGACTCTCGTGTTATGTGCTTTTGCGCACTTGTCTTCTGCAGTGCAGACTTTGGCCATGTGCCCGTACTTCTGTCAGTTGAAGCATTGCACGGCGCAGAACCCAGAACGGAAAACTTCTGCCGGTTTAACTTCATAACACTACATTACTCCCTTTGTGATCGCTCTATCTGCAGATTCCGCTTTATCGAGCCACAAGATCATTGATCTCGATGGTTTTCCCAGGATAGATGATCTCTTTAGCCGTGCGGCCTTTTGTATTCTGATGCCCTATAGGTACAGAGCATTTGCTTGCTGAAGTAATTTGATTTGATCATGACTCTCCGGCTCAAATGATAGCGGTATGTCATGAACTAGGACTTGGTCCATAGGGCTTGCTAACTGTGCTGTATATGCAAGCTTTGTGGTTCACTCCTTCTGTTTTCCGGTCATCTTCTTCGATTCTTGGGCTGTGAAAGATACTTTAATCTATCCATCAGATATCTGTTTCGTTGCTATAGCTTCTTTTATATCCATCTTCTTTACCAGGTCTTCCTGCGAGATTCTAGCAATTTTGTTCGGATTAGGTCCTGATCAACGATGTCTATCCCAATTGTGCTATGTTGCAGGCTACTGTTCCAATTATTCATGGGATCATCATCAGGATTGTGAAAAGTTTCGATTTGGTGTGGGTTACTAGATTGATACCTGAACGTGGCGCATAGTAGTCAGACATGCGACTCGAGTAGCATATGCACGGTAAACCTCAACCCCAAAATGATGATACGAATCAAGTTTTATATGCTACGTCCTGTATGGCTAGCGTGGTTGGAATATGGGGAGTTTACATGTAGATAGATAAAGACGTTGTAGCCCTCTGATAGTTGGGACAAGTCTTCTACAATATTATATCGGAATCAATACTAGCCTCTCATTAAGCAATCTCATGAATTATTTCCAATTTGTGTGATAACAGACATACATATACAATGTCGACAACAAGTTTAAAGTCGAAAAAATTTCCTTCTTTTCTTCTTCATGTATTCTTATGGTGGTGCTGGCAATTTCGGCTTTTCCAGCTACTTTTGTCCAGGAATATCCTTGTGTAGGAGCTAAGACTTTTTTTTGGAGAAATTGAAGCTTTAATGGTTTGGATTTCCTGCATGATTTTGGCTATCGTTGGTTTTCATCGCTAGCTTTGTGGACTGGTTGAGCTTTCGCGTCGCGACGTCTTTCGATAATGTGTACCGCCTCATTAATTATCTTCTTATATACTCTAGTTGAGAGCTCATCTTCTTCAACTGCGTTCTTGAACCTCCATAAGGATGTACCAGCATCTTGAGCATTTTTGACGCGTCCTCTTGGCTTTCGGGGCTGCATAAGACTTTTTACTGCGAGAAACCTCAATAGGACTATTCTCTATCGCTGATAGATTAATTCTGCAAATTCACGGGATTAAAATCTGTCTAGAGATAGTATTTAACCTACTCATATAAACTAAGCTATTCAGGCCACATCACCTTCCTATCACTACGTAGATTTCATCCGTAGCAGCAGGGCTCTTTAGTCGACACTTACAACGTAATACCGTGTCCCACGAATTCTTCTTAAGAAAATCTATGGGGGCAAATTTTTCAATATAATGTTTTTCTCAATTAATTCATCATTGTTGTAACTGTTGAAACTCTCTATTTTCAGTAACTTCCTTCAGTCTGAAGATGAAAATTGGAACGAAAGGGCGAGGAAAAGGTAGGGAAGGGAATGGATCTCAAGACTCCTCTAGATACTGAATTCAAAGTTATCATTTCCAATCACAGACCCAGTCGAAATTGATCCCATGAGCAATTAGTTTTAGTGTCATAGCTAGTTAGGCTGCATACACTTAATGAATAAAAACTAAAAAAAGAGCTATTAATTGCTAATATTCAAAGCCTAATAATCATGTCGAGATGCCCAACTCGTGCTGAGACGCTTTAGTGACTTTGCTCAGAAGAAGCTCCTTTTTTGATCGAGTGAATCTACCATTCATGATTTCAATTTCGTCAACTTCTATCCTAAATCAGCTGTGAAGGCATTCACTGCAGTAACTAGGTTTTAAATCGTGAAACTTAGTTGAATTTAACATAAGTTATGTCGTGAAATTGGTTAATATCTAGGGTACATGTGAATGATGAGTGTTTCATGTGATAAAATAAGCCAAAATTAGGTGATTGTTTAGGTTTAATTTTCAAGTTTACATATTACCGGATGCATAAGCCTAAGAAATTTATTGGCTACCTATCAACCCAGGCCAAGCCTGTCGCATCTAACTTTTTGAAGTTCTATGGGAATGGAGGCAACCAAAATGGATAACTACCATTCTTTATGCGAAATATACTCAGAAGAAATGCATATACAAAAAAAATAAGACCGCACCAAATAAGAACTGCCATCTGTTGGGCGACAGGGTTTAGTATACGAGGTACCTTCAACGCGAGTGAAATAGTTGCAAATGATAGTAGACCATCTAGGGTTCAGAACGTCTTAGCAATTGATTCAAAGCGAAAGTCGGGTTTAACTCACACATGGCAGCAATTATTTGTGTCTCTAATCCGTATTGAGCCGAGAAGCCTCCAGCAAAATAGCTAATCCCACCATTATTGTTGCTAGTAACATATGGTACTTTTCTTATATGATTAAACATATGACCGCTGGTGAAAAGAAGAATAGCTATCAAACTGAGTGCAGCCCATAAGTTACGATTTTGTATAACCGGCATTATTATGGGCCATGCTAGGCTTATTGCTGCAATGATACTCAGTACTGTGGTAGATGCTGCGATCAAACGTTTCCAATTGAGTGGTCGAACAATTTTGGGGCGTGGTCCATCTTGAAGGTGACGCGAGATCCACGCATGTGTCTGCTCAGCAGAATGCGAGCTTTACTGCTGTAAGCTTTCTGTTCATAGAATTATTCGATAGAATTTTTACATACCCACTTGTGAACTCAAGTTTGAGCGGCGAGCTGTTGGCACTAGAATGCATTCCTTGGTTCGGACGAAAAAGTAAGAGAACTGGCGCGGTTTGTAAGCCAAGCTATTGAAGTATCAGATCAACCCATAATTATAATACTGGAGACAGACTGATTGGAACGTATTCCTTCCGTCAGTAAAATCAAGAGTTCCAAATATCAATCTCGAATCGCCTTTTCGGTCACCCCTGGTCCAACTCTTTGAGAGAATTTCCCATTCAAGCTGATATTCCCTACATAATTGGCATCCAAACTTGGGATTCATTGCAGTAAGGAGCACAGCCACCGAATAGTTTCTTGGGCTCGCAGTCAGTTCGCCATAAATCGAATCATCCAGCTTGAGAGGAGCTGATGAAAGAGACTTGGTGTGAAACTTTCGAAAATTGTCCTCAGATTTCTGCTTGGCCGCGATAGACCCAGCTATCAGAAGAAAGCTGAATGACCATAGGGATATCTTCATTTTGTTTGAATTATTGTATGATAAGTCCTCGCGATCTAGATGTGAGGCTGAAAATATGCTCTCATTCGCTCACTATTCACGTGATAAGGCTATGTCTGCAAACGTTAAACCAGCCTCCGTAAGATGTGTTGTGTTTGGATAGAGCATGAAACGGGAGTCAAAACAAAACAATGACTTCATCAGTGAGAATTATCCCAAGGAAACACATAAATTCCTGATTTATGGAGTTATTAGAAATGTTAAATACGCTAACAATCTCAGTAGAATTTGCTTAATCTATTGGCCCATGAGTCTGCCTATCAAGAATCAATACGAAATGAAGAGTCTATATTACAAACCGAAAATACAAGGCGTCTCACTCTTAATATGATAATATTACAGCACCAAAATAATGATCTTCACGGAATTATAGCAGATAGAGAAAATTGTATCACTTCCATGCGAAAAGAAACTGAGGGCTTGCGAGAAATTCTATCAGAGACAAAAAACGTTAATTCTGCTCTCAAAACAAAAATTAAGAACCATGATAGAGATATAATGAGTTTGAGAGTAAGATTTAGATTATAACTAGGTGTCTTATTAGCTGACGCGCAAGGCGGAATTGGAATCGCTCAATGCATCCACAATCGATTCTGGAAAGCTGTTTGCAGATAAGCTACGCGCTTCTCGAGAGGCTGCTGCCCTCAGACTCGAAGTCGATCGTCTTCAAATCGACAACACCCAGCAAGAGGCGCTAAAAACCGAGAAACTACTATTAGAACGACAAGTAACCTCACTTCAAGTTGAGCTCGAGGCTGGAAAAACAGGGCTCAAGTACGTTAACAGCCCCAAGTGCCTAGGAAGATACTAATGTTTCTAGGCAGCTTGAGGAAAATCAAAGAGAGATTGCAAGCCAAAAACATGAGCTGGAGGAAACTTGTGAGAGACTAGAATTGGATCACCAGCTTCAGCTTCAAAAGCTACAGAATGCTTTATCACAGGAGCAGCTACATCGCGAAAAATTTCAAAATGACACCATAGCCACCACCCAAAAACAGGTTGTAGAATTGCGCAATAATTTCTCACGAGAAAAAGAAGATGATAAAAAATTATATTTGAAAGTCTCTTATGATCTTGAATCTTCGGAAAATCGACGGCTTCGCCTTCAGAAGGAGATTGACGAAATTAAGGAAACTCTAACTACCACTCAAACGCAGCTTCAAGAGTGTCAATTAGAGCTTAAACAGTTCCGAGAGCCTGGAGCAAAACTAAAAAAAGCTGTAATCGGCAGAAAGCGTAACTTAACCAAGTCAATGAAGCAGGAGGCTGAAGCAACACACAGCGATTTGACCATAGATACACCTGACGGCGCTGCTGCTCGAGGACTAAGAGCTGCTAAAAAACGAGGTAACCTTGAGCAGACTTTGGTTGGAGAAAAATCGACGTTTTCTATAACGCCATTTCTCAACCGAACTACTAATTATGGTTCGAATTCTCCCATTATAGAAGTCATACGAAGTGGCCAAAAAGACGAATTTTCCCTTGTGGATAGTCTCATTGAGGATACTCCTGCACAACAATCTAGTGGTGGACACCAGCCTCACTTACCAGTTCTCGCTACCTCAAAACCCCGTACGCTCAAGAATACTACCTCTAAAAAAACAAAGCCTATTTCTGAAAAAGCATCACAAAGAACCAGCATCGATCATAATGTTGAAGATAGCTTATTAGATAGCACAGAAACGCATTCAATACCAAAAGATAATGAAAAATGCAAACCTCAATCTGATAGGACCGACCATTCCAAGGGGCAGCAAAAAAAAAGAAGGCGAAAACTTGTTATGGTAGAAGACCCTGTAATTGACAAAGAAGAAGAGGGTCTCTCAAACCTTAAATCTCGAGCTGTACATGTGCCCCCTCTTTTAAATCACAATAGCACTTTTTCGCCTTTGAAGAGATCTCGGAGAGGAGTAGGGGCCAGTTTCATATCGTGATGCTAGGTACAAACAAATGAACCTGTGGACTCACATCCAATTCTGAATTTTTAAGATCAAGTACGTGATAATTTTCAGAAATTGGATATCAATACCAACTTTAAAATTAAAATTCACGATATATCTCACCGAATTTGTTGCACATTTTCGGATGAAATCTTAAAACTAACTTCCTACAGAATTCATAGGATAACCACCAATTTTAAAGAATGACAAAAAACCAGATTACGGAGACCAAGCTCTACTTACTGTCAAAAATTCGCTCATTTTATTGACCATGTCCCAAAGGAGTGCAGACGATCTGGAATGGAGAGTGATTCGACCCAAAAAATTGAACACAGATTAAAAATCGAAATCAGTAAGGATTTTGAAATCTGAATCGGGCTTTATGTTTTTTAAGCAGAAATCAGTCTCTAGCAAAGCAGAGCAGGTATGTATGCAATAAAACTGCCCCTAAATACCTCTCGTCATTTTAACTCGTACTTCTCTTGTGTCATGTTTTAATGATCTTCTGTCTCCCTAGGTTTTTGTATAATAGTGGAGTAATTCGTCAAATGAAATTCTATACCGGAGATAATGCTCACCTAAACCACCTAAGTAAAAGATAACAAATAATATGAACACTAAAACTTAACAACTGGTCATCATGCCCTATTAGAAGTCAGAATAAGTTTTCACATCAATGCCGAGCTTGAGGCCTTTCCTCTTTGTATAATCGGAATTCTATAGATTTACAAGATGGGTTACTATTTTAGATATTTTTGTGCAAATCCATTGCAGAGTTAATCTTTGTACAAATCAAAAAGTATGTCTATAGATTAGGTGGGAAGGTCTCAACCTTTTCTGAGTATAGGCTTCACCATCCCATACTCCAAGTATCCTTACTTTCAACTGTAAATAATCCAACAGGTAAAACCTGACTCTTGGTCTCTGATCACATTAATTTACCAAAAGGCGCAAAAGCCAGACTAGAAAGACTATGGCCTAAAAAGACTCAGTAATTGTTTTGGAGAGTACGTCTAGAGCACTCTCTTTGGTATCCATGAATATAACATCAAAATTTGACAAAAGAATGGCGGTAATGAGTAGGATAAATTGTGGGTTATGAATAACTTGGGGTTGATTATTAGGACAGTAAAAGATTGACAGAATATTATGAAGAGATTTCAGAGTGGCGACTCACATCTTCTCTCTTGTATGGTACCTGTTTAAGACTTTTAAATTGATTGTTTGTCCAAGTAAACTCAGGGATCAAGCAGCCGTCAAAGACGAATTCTTCACCTTCCAGTGGTGCTTGTGTAATCGCTTAATTTGCCCTACTTATCTGGGATAGCCAAGAATAACTGCATCCAAATCAAAATCAAAAGCAATCTCTAGTATATCTAAAATTGACGACTTCTCGTCAATGTCTGATCTATCATTCCCACGCGAGTCCTCTATCTCAATCTTACTACACTACCTCACCTCAAATACCGATAATGGCGTTACCCCAATCACAATCGGATTTTTGCCTCGTCGAAAACCGGCCATCTCCCACTACAAAGTCACGTTACTATGTATATTCGCGAGGAGGAGACTAATTTACAATGTTCAAAGCTCGGACCTTGGTCTATGGGGGACAGTTGCTGTAATTGGGCTTCACATCTTGAGGGAGAACATGCAACTGGGACATGGGACGAGCGAGTGAAGAGGTCGTACATGGGCATTCTGGGACTAACATTTTTCGAGTGTTCTCGACTTGGGGTACTTGTGAGCGCCGAGGCAACGATTTCGGTTAGTGCAACCGACACTCTAAAAACAGGCAACGATGGAAGGTGTTGTGGTCCGCCTCCTGGTCGTCATCTCCCATAATTAATATCTGGGTAGCCTGCGCACCTACCTCAATCTAGAAAGGGAGGACTATGAGGCTATATCTTGCGCGTTGGCTATACCGAAGATGGCATGGGCATGTTAGGGTAGCTAAAGGTTTTTGTTCTTATCCCTTTGGTAGATGTGAACGGTTGAGGAAAGGGTGAAAGTCCGTAGTACAAACGTCTCGGGTGGTATCAGCGAATGTACTCAATACATGAGTTGTCCAAATGTTAACCCATGTTATCGTCGTATACAATCGTCCGAGGACTAGCCTACTCCTTGTTATGCTCTATGAGTGCTAGGCTTGTGCCCGTCACGAGTAAATATTCATTTATTCAGGCAGCAAACAAGTGGCGATTTGTTTCGTACTCTACGTTGGCATGAGGCTTGATGATGCAACCCCTATTTATGATAACTATTTTGAGCGAGTCAAATACTGAAAACCTACCAATGGCTATTTTCCAGAATCTAGAGATGTGATATTCCCTTGTTGTCGAATCTGGGTCCCTACAGGTGATACCCATTTCTGATTTTATAAGTTGTAGATTTTCGATGAAGAGATTGATCCCTTAATAAGATGTGGGGATCCCGGGACTAGGCGCGGGTGGGACTGGAGGGAAGTTATAAACTCACAGATTGTGAAGGTTCCAAGGACTCGGGTTTCATAGACGGTCAGATTTGGCACAACCTAACTTCTAGGTGAAGACGGGGGTAATCCTTTTACTCAGGTGGTAAGTGTCATGACGAGACATTCTTGAACCAGAGTCTAAGCAGAATGCCTGAGGATAAAGTTCACGAAACAGGTTTTTCGGCTCACCCTCAACACTTGCACTTCTATGGTGAGACTAGATAATGCGCCAACTGGAATTGATATGGTTGAGGTCACATTTTGAGTTATGATGGGAAATTACAACAGTCGTATTTGAATTATGCTAGATAGTTATTTGTACTTAAGGAAGCTGGAGCTACAACAAAGTAGTTCTCCAGCTTCACAATCTTATAATATTATTACAGTATTCCTCTCGCAAACCCGCTTCCTTCTAGCCATTGTACTTCGTCGACTTTCCATCTCTATAGTATTCACCACTTGACCTTTCCATACCCTCAGCGAACGGCGATCCCGATCTACCCTACAGCACGCCGTAACAGTATGAGGTTGTTGTACTCAATGGTATTATGCTAGATAGTCATAGAATCAAGTAGTACAATAAACACATCACACCATAACCAGATGACTGCCTGTCAGGAAGTAGACATCTAGGGTAAATATGAGCAATGAAAATGTCATTACCCGGGAGAGAACGAGGAGTTTATTAGGGACACTGCTGACAAGCGCTAATTCCTCTCTTACCTACGTTTGACATGATTTGCTTTCTCTTTCTCTTTCTCTTTCTCTTTCTCTTTCTTTCTCTTTCTCTTTCTCTTTCTCTTTCTCTTTCTCTTTCTCTTTCTCTTTCTCTTTCTCTTTCTCTTTCTCTTTCTCTTTCTCTTTCTCTTTCTCTTTCTCTTTCTCTTTTTTTTAAATTATTTAACGTGTATGCGGCTATATAGCTATGACACATGGCCGGTGCTATGTGTACGTAACGGATGACTCTTTTGACGTTAGAGACACTCATGCTCTGTATTTCATTCGCAAATACCACTTTGAGGTATTTTCGCTTACACAAACAGTCGACCCTCCTCCGTTAATATCTACCAAAGAGCATTTCAAAACCTTAGATTATCCAAGCATGCCTTCGTCACCCATGTATACCAGCGCCGTGAAATATGTGGTTGTGTTTTGCCGGATTCGTGCTAGCGCTCTGCTGTTTCGAGTGGAATATGTGACTAAGCTATCCAGACTCTACTTGGCAGATCGGCCAAGACGATGTACCACCGCACCACCCAACCATGGCGGTGTTTATAGTGTCGCCTGCACTGTCGCAAGCGAAGTCTTGGCACGCACAAAGCTCAATTTGTAATAAGTCTTTTCCAAAGTTCAAAATTCCACGCGCGTCCATATTGTATCCATCCCCATCATCATTTTGTAAACTTGTCCTGGTCCCTCTTTCGTCAATCCCAAAGAACTGTCTTCCAGATTTGTGCGCCACGCTTTGCTTCCTCCGTCGGGTGTAAATATCGGCGTGGGCGTGTATCTGGCGACCAGCTAAGGCCAAAGAAAGTCGAAAAGAAGTGTGGTCATTGGAATGAGGATGTACTAGGTCGTACTTGTAGACTTGATGAGGCTTAGGTAGGAATCGATTTCGTTGGGAGTGAAAGATTGATATGGTGGAGTATTTTGAATCATTGCCTCGTGGGCCACCTTATTCGGTATTGCGAAATTTGACTGAACTTGGCTCTGGGAGAATATTTCACTCCCAGGTTCGTAGAGGAGACCGCGTACAGGTGTTCAGTCTTGCCCTCCTATGTCGTGGCTTATTCGGCTTTTAAGCCTAAGCTTCAGATGGCTTGCTTCCTAGCCACTTAATAGACATTCAATATTATCTTGTAGCGTCTGAGTATCAAAAAATCATCAGGTTCCTGTAACCACGGCATTTTTTTTCTGCAACAGATTTTCATTGCGTATGCAGCTATCTAGCTATGAAAAAATCAGAGGAAAACTACACAACAGATGACTCGCGGCAAATTTTTTCGTGTCGGAAAAGCTGTATTCTGATCAGCATGCTTGACATTATCGTTGGTCAACATCTAATAACATAAAAGCACCTCATGCCAATGAATCGTCTTGGTTGCACCATAATGAGGCAAATTTTTAACTATCTTCCGCAAGATTGAGAAATAGCGTGTTAGTGGCTTTGAAATTTAGAAAACCTCTGCAATTTAAGAAACAAAGGAGGATAAGAGCACTGCACAAGGTGTAGTCTAGGTCAGGGTGGAGCCAGACATGCTAGATTTTCGTAGAAACAAGTAGGACAATCAACTACACATATACAGCCTCTAATAGGCGACAGCATTTGAGGATATCACGTATTAAAGCATAAAAAATGGAATGGATGGCTTATCGTGAAATTTTGTCTAGGTTTTTTTTCTAATTGATGGCTTTTATCTCACGTAAGACATCAATACAGCACAAAGTTTATTAATATGTGCACATTATCACTGATGTCATTGATCTATCTTAGGTTTGCCTCATTGAATCTTGGATTACAACTTTACAACTATAGCTAGTTTACGATAAATTTGCTCCCCACGTTTCTCCTCGTGAGCACACAAAAAATTTGTATTGGATTTTTTTCGTAGACCGTCTATTGGCAACCTCTTTATCAGTATATTCAACATTCTTTTAGTACTGTATTTGAACCGTTGTGCATCTGTTAGTTGATAATTAATCAGATCATCAGATTTGAGTCATGTTCTCTCCTGATACAAGGTTGTCAAAAATGTCTCACATAAGATGTGAAGATTGATGAACCTTTACGTTGATCGTGCGTTCTAATATTTGAGTTCTTGCCATATTATTTTTAAAGTATGTCTCACAAATCTATTTCCTCTCAATAATAATATCCCTATATAAAAGTAAAGAAGAGGTCCGGTGGGACTGTAGAGCCTGATGGAGTCAAGCTATATTTTAAATTTTGCCTTCACATTGAACTTATCTTATAGCGTGAACATAGAGACGCTGAATTATCTAGTTGGCTTGTGGCCTAACGAATCCACTTGATGGATACCTTCTATTAGATCGTTGATTCCTGTTGCCTTTCTTTTGAAGCAAGTTCTCTTTTGTTTTTCGAGCACCTGGAGCAACTTTTGGCGCCAAGTGCTTACTTTCTTTTTGGATAACCCGATAAGTGGTGTTACCCACATGGATATCTTTTGGCTGTTTTATGTCAAGATTTTTGAATGTTGTTTTTTTGGATACTATATTTTTCGAGGGTCTGGAAAGTATAGGTTCAGGGGGGTCGTCGTCATCAAGATATTCACTTGGAAGCAAATCTGGAAGCCTTTCAGTTAAGCTTCTGGGTTCTTTTTGCACTTTGTCACGAATCTCATAATCGTTAATGGTTTCATACTTTGATTCATTCTTGCCTTGAACTGTGGTCGTATTCCTTGGACTCGATTTAACGCCATCATGTATTAAATCACTTAGTTCTTGTAAATTTTGCCTTTTTCTTTCTTTCTTTTCTCTCCTCTTCTGAAGGAAAGCTTTATTCTTCCTAATTCATAATTAGCCAAAATGAATGTAATTAGTCTCATGGAAGGTGAGTTTACTCATTTTCTGCTTTGGCCACTTCAGCTAGCTTGTTCAATAGGTTATTTCCAGAATCTAGTGCTGCAAATGTTTCTGGTGCATCATCATCACTATCTGTACTCTCACTTCCTGCTGACAAGTCTTGTATCAAAGTTGGTTCGGCCTTAATGGTGGATATTCCTGCACTTGTGAGCGGTTCTTCGCTTCCAAACTTTTTATGTTGCGCAGCCACGGTCATTTTTTGAGGTGTTATGTCAGTGTGCACGTCCACCGATTTTTCTGTTGCTGAAATATCTTGATAAGTTTCGGAATTTTTATCTTCTCCTTTGCTGGATGAGTTTTTATCGGGAGTTTTACATTTGTAGCCAAGAGGTGTGCTATATTTCATAGACTTATTCGATGTTGGATAGAGTTTAGGTGTTTGCATTTTCTCAGCACTCCTTTGCTGATTAGAAGACGTCTTTTGTCGCTTTGAGCTTGATGGTATTGGCTCTGCCTCTTCATGATAAATGGATGTATAGCGCTTTTTGCTACTACTAGTGGTAGCTTGTCTTTTATTTTTTGGACTATCCTCGAAAAAAGATTTTTTCATCTCTTCGCTGAAGCCAACGTTGTTTTGTCTCGTTTGTATCATGTTTGAGTCAGCTCCTGTTCGACGTTTTGTAACTGAAAGATCTTGATTACTGCTGTAGGAAAGCAGAGATTTGGCAGAATTATATAATCTAGAAATAGCGGACATTGGGATAAGATTTCGGAAGTGCGCGGAACAACTTCTACACGATGGCCAAACGGCGTGCGTTAGTGCCGAGATATTTGTGTTTCCAAAGTGCTAATGCTTTCGTACCGGTATACATAAGTACAATGTATTCTTCTGACACGGAACTCCGATAACCGGCTACAAACCTAGTCCTAAACTTGCATCATTCACTGAGGTGTCACAGCCAACTATCAAAGAGATGGTATCAAGTTCACAGCTGAACTTCATTTGCCGTTTTCTACGAATACAAGCACACAAGCGACTATGAAATTCAAAAGTAGCGTCTTTGGTCTATGTAAGACTCTTGACATGTATCTACTTGTAACTCGTAGATACTCTGCAGTTCAGTTTAGCCCAACGGTAATGAGAAAAAAAAGAGCCCAGGAACAACAACAACGAATTACCGAAACACATATCCTAAAGAACTATGACTCGCAAGAGATCCTTCCACCAGTAGAACTACTGTATACGGCCCAAAGTTTGGGGGTCATATCCATGGGGTCCGAAAATGCCCTAGAATTTTTGCGTCGCTATCATCTCCTCGCAACGAGACCAGTCCCAGGATGGGAACAAAGACTATGCGATGGTGCAGTCACGAAATTCCGCTGTCTTGCTATGCTAAATTACTATTAGAGTTCAACATAAACCCCGAGGTTGTAACCCTTCTCGCGACGATACTTCGGAGATGTAAGACACGGCCACAACAAGAATTTGCCCGAACATTAATACATACAGCCTCTACAATGGGTGATAAGCTAGCAACCTTTGAGCTAGTAACTAGTGCTCTTCGATCAAATTCAATCTTGAGATACGAAAAGACACTCGTTCGACTCGAGGCTTTTGCCAACCAGGGGGATCAACAAGCTATACTTCTCTTAGCCAAAGTACTTTTCCAGACTGAAGCTATTAGAGAGTCCCTAGCCTGGCTTCAGCGTGCTATGCGATCTCCCAAAGGAAATTTAGATTTTGATGGTGCCGGCGAAGCCCTTACGTTAGAAGGGCGCATCTTACAGATGCTGAATGACAAATCAGGAGCTAAAGCTGCATTCGAAAAAGCAGCAAAAGATTTAAATGATCCGGAGGCCTACTTCCACCTTTCTCAAATGGAAGAAGTTTTAGACAATCAGTATACGTACCTCCTCAACTCTGCTATAATGGGGGTTACAGAGGCATGTCACAGTCTTGGAGTGTTAGAGCTTAAGAAAATTTGCGAAAAATATGGGCCATCAAAGGAACTTATTGACTATGGCTTGGCAAAAGAGTGGTTTTTGATTGCTGCTCATGACGGAAATGGTCATAGCATGCTGAAACTTGCTGAAATTTATAAATCATGTGAACACATGAGTGAAGCAAAAGAGTGGCTGAAAAAAGCTTCATTGGTGCCCATATCTACCCTGCAGGCGAATCGACTTAACTTAGAATGGAAGTATAAATCCAATGATCAGGGCCCCTGACTGGAACTAGATCTAGGTTCCAGTCTTTTCAAAGGATATATTAAGATTCAGATTCAAATTATGATTCTTTCTTCTTCTTTTTGGCCCTGACCATTAAGAGCTTTCAAAGTAATGTAAACTACCGTTAGAGTTAACTTTTGTCGGAGATTCCAATCAAAATATTGAACGCTAAGTTTCTCTTTTACACCTAAATTTAAAAGATCAAGCATCCTAATACTCTTATCTTGTAATCTCATGATATTTTTCACTATTTTGAAATTTAGCAATTACCCAAGATATGCATCTCAAGGTATAATTCAACGAATATAGTGACCGGACCAACATATACGAAAATACATAGACTCTTGGGCTGTAATGGCACCATGTCATTAGCATCAAAGTTGCTGTGATCTTTCACGGCAGTTAAGGATCTATTTCAAATCCAATATTTGCCACTCTAGCTTTTAATATGTTGAGTTAGCCGTTTTGGAAAGAATCAGCGACAATCTATTTATTCCAGAACCATAAAGGCTGCTGGAAATCAATTGATCATAGTGAGTCAATGAGGATATAAAACAAGCCTGATAATACGAGGTTAACGAGTTTTACTTTGAAGAGACGTATTTGAGTTTTATTAGACTGTCTTAGATAACTCTATAATATACCCACCGCGAATTCAGCTCATTACAAGCAAAACTATCACTACTAATTATCTGATAAACAGACTATTATTACAAAGATGTGTATAATCGATCGACAAGGCACCGTATGTTGGGCCATAATCAGCCTACCAAGTATCTGAGGCTTATGATGGAATCCTCAGGCAACACCCTGCCTACAAAATTTTGTAATAGCTCATACAAATTACAGAATGGAGGATCTATCAGGTTCTCCCAAAACTCCAACCCAATAACTTCAAAAAGCATAGGCATTCCATTAACTCGTGGGCCTGAAGGTATAAGACATAAGTATCGTTAGGAATTTCAGATTTTTATCACGAAAGACACGTATTTTTCAGACGTCCGGTCTGAGTTTCTGCTGCGATTTCTTTGATGCCAAGGCACGGCCGCTGATTACACTTCAACGGTGTTCTGTAAATAAAATTCATCCCGCCCTGCAGTGATGATATGGCTTTGAGACTAACAGCTTGTTCTGATAAGGCTTCTTCACTCGTCGAAAATTCAAAGTTTGTCAGGAAGCAGAAGCTTATCTCTAATCTTGCAAGTTCACTTTCGCTAACACCTCCAACCTTTGAAAATCGAGAGTGTGCGTAGCTCTCATCTTCGAGTGCTTTCATTGCAACCCTTAATCCGGCTAATACCAGTCGATGACAGTTTAGGCGGGTGATTGGCATTACTTTCTCCTCAACAACTAGCTTTTGAATGTAACAGCTTGTGGCAAGGTAGACAGCCGTAGAAATAGGGCAGAATTTATGTATGCGCATGAGATAATCTACGAGGCTAATGTGCGGCAATTGCTTGGAATAAAATTTGCGGGTAATGGCACTTTGCTGGATGTAAATAGGTTTAGCATTATCACCGATAATTATGTAGGGTTGTGAGGTCGTGGCAGGTATTTTTGTTAGGGCTTTGCGAAGTTTTACTCCGTCGATAGCAATGGATTCGAAATTCAAGGCTGCAGGTATCTTGGAACGTTTTGGTGACGATGCGGAATTTGGTATGTCTTTGTAGGAAGATTCCCGCATGACTTTCTCCTCAGCCTGGACTGAACAATAGTTTGGACTTGCTTCGTTGACTGGGGAGTCAGATAACATTGTTTCTGCTGAAAATTTTATTAGGGCCTCTATCCCAGCACACAACAACTTAAGGGCAGTAATTGAACTGATTGTAAACACATCCATCTTTTCCGGTGGCTGATGATTAATTTGTTGCACTGCGTGTGGCTCTTTTGCATAGTCTAAATTTATGGGTGGATTTGGTGAAGTTGGAAGGACGTGAGCGAGAGCGTTAACGACTTCTGGGATGTCGAGAGGTCTTGTAGAGACGGCATGAATAATTTCATCTTCAGCAAGGCATGTGGGAAGCATGATTAGTATTGTGGTTTGTAGCTTGTATGGAACAGTAAGAGTGATGATCGGATAACCTCCAAGTATAGCCACATAAGGGGTGACGAGCTAATGTAGCCGTTATAGGTCGTGAGATCTTCCCTAGTACACTCATACTTTAGGTGTGAAAATGGCGGGGATCGTATGCGGGATCGAGATTAACGCAGGCACATGGGAGATAATATCAATTAAAGAAGGTGTAGATGGTAGATTGGTGAAGTGAGTGAAACATGTCAAGTTAAATGAACAGCATTAACTTGGAGAGTAGCTTTTGGTCTAGAATCCAAGAGCCAATTAGCAAGACTGCCGGGAGTCTACTCCGTGGGACCGGCACATGTCCGAAATTTGGCCCGGTCCCATACCGCGGAGGTCATGTGCCAAACCCCTGAACAAACCATGCGAGTGACCCCTAGGAGATGTTTGCGCCAAGCCACGGGACACATATACAGGGAGATGGGAGCTGACCGGGGGAATGCATCCAAAAGATACCGACAACTCTAGCTGTGCGCGTAAAGTACAGCTACTTCAATGCTTAACGCACCTGTGGGAGAGCTTACCGGAGTGATCCCTGCGATGTCCGGCTAGCGCTAATCAAGAGACGCGTGCATCCATTCATTCGATCGTTGAGGGTCAGATCGATCATCTACAAGGGTATCATGGCAGTGACACGACCAGCAACGCGAGCTATTGGGGAAATGAAAATTGTGGATGAATTTTACCTACAATCTAGATGTTGTCACGAGACGCAGGCATTCGTACGTCGATATTCTTGAGGCAGATTGCACATTTCCAATCGTTCAGGTCCAATGATTGCGTCAGACAGAAGGAGTGAAGTCAAAAGCTTGGAAGTCGATGTGGCCAAATATCCCGACGCCACGATGCTATTCCGGGCCAGATGACACTGTGGTATGCCATTTGAGCTTCCAGCCATGGTCGACTCTAGGTAGCCCTGTCATCCACTCCGTTTGTGTCGGAAGATCACCTATTCGAGTCTCGCTTGGCCCGACCGCAACCGCACGGTTCTCTGATGAAGTAGCTGATATGAGCATGATAGGGCGGCTTTAGTGTAATCTAATGCTACACCATTAAGCGTTCTTGGTTTGATTTGACCCGAAGAATGTTGACTGTCGAGATAGAGTCGCTCACCCAGGACACCTGACACGAGTACGTGCTCCGTGAGACCTAATTCCTTCTGTATTAACTGGCATAATGTAGCCTGAGTCTTATGCGTGTGAGAAATTAAACAAAGTGGTTCTATTGCTCTTGATAAACACCCTGAGCCTTGGCAGCTTCCACATAGCACTTTGATAAAGGGCCTATCGGCCGGGGAACCTTAATTTCTCCGGGGACCATCGACATGAGTGGGTGGAGCATACTTATTTGTAATTCACGCGATTCAAACGGAAGGAATATCAAGAGAGAAAAGAAGAGGTTTCGCACGAGCCCCAGAGATATGGTCCAAACATAGAACTGGTATGTACTCTTGGCGGGTGTCGAACATAATTTTTGATCAATAACAAAAAAATACCCTCTGCAAACGGGAATGCAGAGATTTTGTAACGAACTGTGCCGTGTAAATTACGGGACCCTTTCACTTCATGACGAGTGTAGCTCAGAGGAAAAGATCAGGGAGCTACCCCGTACAAATATATCAACGCACTGGCTAAGTGGAGACATGGAGATGTAGGGCAAATAGCAATTGCGGTGAATACGTTGCTTGGGCCACCGAAGTTGCATCCGGATTTGGATTAAGGCCTGGATAGCGGAGTCTACATAGAGTCGTGTTTAAAAGTAAACCAAATTATTAGAGAAAGTCGCTTTTGAAACTTGTGGATAGGCAGCATTGAAGATCTAATCTGTCCACAACTTTGAGCTTGATGATAGCCAGCAAGACGAAGAATAACTTTGTCTGTCATTAAACATCATGGGAGAGAGGATATTGGATAGAAGATTAGACCAACATAAATAGAGGTGATACGCCCTGAGTAGGTATGGGCATTGTGAATGTAGTCGGATGCATTCTCACAGAAACAGAGTCAAGTGTGCGATATATATAGACGTGTCATATCCCTGTCCATAATTACCAAACACACACTGCCATAACCACCATCTATCTCTGCTATCCATCGCAATCCTGAGTATCAATATGAGGTGCTAATATGCGGTATGTTTTTACGAATCGATAACAAGAGAGAAATATTAACAGGCAGAGGGAATGGTTTGATGAGAGATTGGAAGAGTGTGGCTGGAAACTGGGCGCGTTGTGACCTTCTCGTGAAGCTATATATCGAAGGGCCTTACGGTGCAAAGACATGGGAAGAAGAAAAAGCCACCATATCTTCGCAGTGGTACCTGCAAAAGAAATCTGAGGCATGAGTGCTCCTCTCGTAAATTGAGTCATCTTTTCTGTACTTTTCTTTGATATTGTGTCATAGCTAGATAGCTGCATACGCAATTAAAATCTGATGTAAAAAAAGATGCATGCGAAGCAATTTATCTAGTTTTATTTCATTTCACATATTCAGGATGCTCAAGCAATGATAGTAACAGACGGGAAAACTTGTCCCGTAAAATATCCAACTACTACCAGTCTTCTACCTCTCAAGTTTTACCTTCTTCATGGCAATAAAAACACACACACACATACACCTTCTTCATGGTATGATTAACTCTGACAACCTGGAGGACGAAAACTCAACACTTGTCAGTAGTATCCTCTAAAAGACTCCAGTTCTCACTGTGAAGTCTACAAAGCCGAGATTGAGTAACAAAGTCCTCACTTCGATGAGGATTCCCAATCGCTTTCGCAGTCTGTATCGTCTTCATCTCTCAACACGTTTCCCTATCACCATTATCATGAAGGTTATCACGATCAGATCAGATGGTAGGGTCGGAGCCCTTCTCATCGCCCACCTTGACCATGGAGGAGAAGCCATCCGATGAGTTTCCGGAGCGTACCCAGCACTCGATACGGAGATGGTGGATTGGATCAAGTCGGCCTCGAATGTTACAAAGAAGGGAGATGTAGTTGAATATGCGCACCTCATGAGGTCCTGGTGTCTAGGCCTCGTCTGGCTGGGACTGCAGGTTTTTTGAGACTTTTTCCCGCGCACACAGCTCCCGTAGCTACCTTTTATTTTATTTTTATTTTTTGGCTAGAAGGCCCAGAGGAAAAGGTGGTAGAATTCCTATGGGAAATTCTGGCTCTCGAATTTAGGACTCAACCATTATCTGTTTCGTCTCAGGTTCCCGACAAGATCGACTCTCTCCACACATGTCCCGAGGACACTAATCGCGCCTACTGTTGCATATACGTTTGGATATTTAAGTACTACAGTGTACCTTGGCTCATCATGGTAGATGAGAGGTGGCTGGTAATCACTAGGTTTAACAGGCACATGAGACTAGCGGGAATTTCTCCTTTAGATGTATATACAATTCCAATGTTCCCATAGTTGTAAAATATCAAGTCTTCTTTACTTCATCATATATATCCATATAATATCGTACAGAATATATTTTCCAACAGTTCCACGGGTAAATACTGAGCTGAATGACTATTCATCACGGGCAACATATCAATGATCTTACAAGTAACAAAAGAGGATAGGAGCACTGTACAAAGTGTGGCCTGGGCCAGAGAGGGGCCCAATGTGCTAGATAGTCGTAAACTCAAGTAGCACAATAAACCCACACACTCACAAATATCTACATTCTAGATGTGAACTACGAACAGGAAAAAGCCAATCGGATTTACTTTTAAAAAAAACTGATTATTTGAAATTCTCAAATTTTCCTGGAAGATCTTCTCCATCTAAACTTATCTCGCGACTCTCTCCGCAATGATTTCACCACTCACTGAAGCACTCTAAAAGTCATACTCGCAATCAAAGATACACGTTGATATCTTTCCTGTTTAATCTGCTGTGCTCTGTGAAGGTACTGTTAAATAACCCGCCTTAAATTCGTCTATGTCTGGGCCTAGAGTTGGATAGTGCAGTATTACAACATTGGGACAGCTCTCCCAAGTAGATTGTAGGTAGATTAAACATCTACCCTATTTGAGACAAGAGAAAGCTGGCTTAAATCCATTACAACCTACATACTACACTCTCTAGCGGTAATATTGTATTTATGAAGTTAAAAAAGCACACTCGGGTAACCATGAAGATTTCACGCTTTTCCCTGTGGTGGGTATGCGCAGAGGAGGTTATATTCCGTTAGGGTTAACCTCGAGCGGTATCTGCAAATGAAATCTGAGTTTGAGTCTTCTAAACGACCGATTGAGTTTTCCTACTTAAACTACATATCTTCCGTATGAACCGGGATAAGCCTCAAGGCGCCAAACTAGGAGTTTGAATGTGAATTTGAGATCTTCTACGTGACATGAAGAGCCCGACATCTTTTTAGACGCGACACGCATAGATGGGCCCTAAAAGCTCATTGCTACTAACATGACAAGCAACAAAGCCAAAAGTGATAAATGAAAAAAGAACTAAAAAAAATGTTTGAGTCACGGCGTCCTACGCCGCACCTCTATCTTCCAAACACATCTCCTCTCCAATTGGACACAGCCTCAGTATGATCACCTCCCACCCTGTTAACTCTTCAACAGACTGTAACATCTACTAATAGTTAGGAATGGGAAAAACTTCTGCAAATCTCTTCTCCCCTATCATTTCCTGGTCTTAGGAGGGACCATTTGTTCGTAGTTTCTCCGACGCTGCAAAGCAGTTCGGCACTCTGGAGGGCGAGACTGAAAACTTGTACGCTGTGTCCTTTACGAACCTGGGAGTTAAATATTTTCCCAGAGCCAAGTTCAGTCAAATTTCGCATTACGATAGCTGTTGGCCCACGAGGCAATGATACAAAAAACTCCTGCATGTCAATTTTCCACACCCGACGACTTCTACTCCTATCTAAGCCTCATCAAGTCTATAACAACGACCTAGTGCGTCATCATTCCATTGAACACACCTCTC